GAATCAGTACATTCATCGATACCACACGTGCCGCCATTTTGACAAGGAGAAGAAGCGCACACGGGTAAAACCTGAAAATGAAACATCACAACTTAGTACAGAAATATTTCTAATGATAAATAATAATAAATGATAATTTGTACTTACGAACTGCTCAGCGTCATAGTACGTAAAGCCTGGTTTGATGATGTAATCAGATGACGCGGAGGTCTTTGTGTGGTTACTCAGCTCACATACGTGGAGTGGAGAACCCGTTTCTTGGTAATTGTACGACTTACAACCACTAGTTTGAAGACATTGGTCAGCACAGTCGAAACGGGAAGTGACGTCATGGCTCGATATCACGTGACCACTCAGTGCTCGATCTGAGGATTAGATGAAAATTCATCTACTATATTGTAAATTGGTGCTACACTTAAAGCAAAAAGAGCTTGGAAGAATGGTTTTGTTTTCTCTGATATAAAGTTAATTACCTCGTTGGGCTTTTTTGAAAATCGCCATCTTCTTACAAGTACCTCTGTAAGGTCCGAGGGCGTAGGAAGATACTGCGCATGTCAGAAGCACGAACACGAAAAGGTTGGTTGCTGACATTATGCAAGAACCCTGCTACGAATTAAAAGAATATGAGCTTTATATTGGAAATTTTGCTTTGTGATTTTAAATATAATTTACTTTGATTCTAGCTGCAGATATTTGATGAATGCAAAATGCAGCTATTTCACCTCCAGACATTTCGTATAAAATTCAAACCTCCTGTTTTTCAGCTAAACAGCAATGGACAGAGGAAAATTAATAATAGAGTCAAGATATGTTAAATCAAAAGGAAATGTTATTTTGGTCCAGTAATGACGTCATATTACGCGAGAATCCAACGTGGTGGAAACTGCATGATTACTGTGCGGATACCCCAAACCGGGACACTTTGATAAACTAGTATCATTAACCAATCATATTACGACATTTAGTTCAAGGTTTTTAACCAGCCAATCAGATAGCGCACCGATATTATAAGAGGGTGAGAACGTGATAATCTGATTGGCTAACACTGTTATCAGTTCAATCACTGTCTAGTTTACTGCTATCTGATTGGTCAGTTTTATTCAAATGGCCCCTGTTATTGCGTCCGCACAGTAACGCAGGAGAATAACATAACACCTATCATGTCCACAAACATACAAATTGATTTTCTACATTCCTTATATATAGTGGCGGTTTTTAAGGGGCAATTGCCCTATTTCACTATGACGTCACTGGTTGTTTACGTGGGGGATAGGATCGCCAAATCCAATAGAAAATTCAACAAAATTTGCTCCTAGCGAAACAGTTTAATATAATATGTGTTAATATGTACTAAAAAAT